ACGTTGCGTTTCAAATGGATATAGCACGATATCGTGCGGATAGCTGGCCACTTCGAGGTCAACGCAGCCATGATGTACCCGGTGTGGTCAATTGACACAATTGCAGGGACGAGGTCTGTGTTGAAAAAGGTGGTGTACATACTTGATGTAACATCGAAGAGTTTATAGTACGCCTCCTTGCACTCCGCTCGGACGAACAGGTACGTCCATGGCAGAAATTTGTGGCGTACGCAGCCTCTGGAGTACTTAGTGTACACAGCGCCCAAGTCAATCAAAGTCCACCCACCTAAAGGATAGGAATAGTAGAATATTGAATGTGGCTAGCAATTACTAACGTGCTGTGTATTACCAAAATGCAGTTTGTACGTTCCGTCAGTTGATATAGCCAACGACGACCCTTGACATTCGTGGGCCCATGAAATATTCCACATGTTCTGCCGCGAGGACAACACTAGTCCAACGTAGGGTTTGTCGTCGCCTTGATCGGCATACGTCCCTTCAAAGACGTCCAGTACAATCAGCCTGCGGCTACACACTGTATGTCAATGATACAACACATAGTATATTTATGTAAAATAGTACACAGCGATATTCTTCATCCTGCTCCATTAACTCGTCGTACGTGAATCCTTCACCACGGTCAAAAAATGCCTCGGCGGTGTCGCACCGATGCGCTTGACCCCACTCAACAAGCTCGGCAAGATTGTTCATCTCCCAGCCTCCTCTTTTCTGTCGACCAATGACTTTGCGCCGCTCCTTCAGTTGGGCACGCGAGGGCAGAATTTTCATCATGTCAGGGTCACCTTGATACGTTACTTTTAACTCGACCTACGCATTCGTTGGAAGTGGAAATATTTCAGTGGCATTATTATAACTATATTCTTACTTCAAGTTTTTTGGGCGTTTATCCACACTTGAGGCCACGAATGCATGTACGGTACTGGTCCCACCTCTGAGTACATCACCCAGCGGTGGGGCCAGGCGAAGAATGCGTGAATTTGGACCTGTATTGGACGAGATAGAGGTGGTCATGGCTGTTCGGATAATTGACGCCTATCATGTAGCGCGTCCGAGAGATAACAAGGCGACGAATGCATGTACGGTACTGGCCCCACCTCTGAGTACATCACTCAGCGGTGGGGCCAGGCGAAGAATGAGTGAATTTGGACCAGTATTGACCGAGATAGAGGTGGTCATGGCTGTTGTGGAAGCCCGACTTGATATCCTCGGCACATCGATGATGAGGTATGACAGTGTATGTGTGTACGGCACTGATGCCATCTCTGAGGGCATCTCGTAGTGGTGGGACCAGTCGAAGAATGACTGGAATTGGTCCTATATTGATCGTGATAGTATGTCATACCGCATGCTACGGTACATGCTTTGTCATAATAATTATGGTCCGGACCAGCAACACGATTTTCATGTTAATCGGTCAATAAAAGCACGCGCAAGTAACCCAGCAAGCGTGAAAACCCCAAGCACGCGTGAAGCCCCTAAAAATTGTTCCAAATACGCGACACGAGTAAATATCCCAAAAAGCACGCGTGAAACCCCTACACCCCTTCACAGTGTTGATCACGCTACCGACGACATAGTCCTCGGCGGTCGCAGTGTCCTATAAAACTAAATACTCTCTTTGGATTATCATATGTCTTAAACAAATCATAATCCAAACTCAAGTAACCGAAATCTCCCTCATAACGTGCGACGACTTTAACATGATGACAGCATGATGACAACTAATACTACTGTACCTCTGACGTACTAGTACTCCGTACAGTGTACTAGTACTTGATTGTTATTGCCTCACGTCTGTTCATCGCGACTGTGTTATGCTCGGACTTGCTTAACGGTAAGTGTACCGGCAGTAGTTAACACCGGTAGTCTTGAATAACTTGTTTCATGAAAACACGAGACGTAGTACATCTTTCCATGATAACCCTAGACGGGAAAAAGGAAGTGATAAACGGCGTTGGCGCTCATGCTGTCGTCTTTAAGTGCCTTGTCGTTCCTGTTGTTGATTTCCCACTCAGGGAAATACTGTTTGATTAGCTAAATTATGGGATTTATGGCGAATCAAATCACGAGGTCGATATATTGCCACTTCAAAGGGTCAAACCACCCCAAAACAGCAAATTTTACCGGATTTCACAATACTGTACGTACATTACTGGCGCTAATAACTGTAAATGTCGCGGAGTTACTGTTAACGTTAGTTCTCTATTGCGAATTCGTGTGCTAGTTCTCCATGGTCCTTTCGAGTGCATGCTTACAAGTGAAGGATCATTGTACTCTAATTTCAGGACGTCTGACCAAATTCGACGATGTTTATCGTGTCCGAATAATGCTGGTTTGACGATGTTTATCATCCCAAATCAAGGTAAAAATGTACTTTGAAGTATGTTTCATGCCATTAACCGGATCATAGGTCGATTGTAAATACCCTAAACAGCCAAGTGGCCAATACCTTTCGAATTCAATTTTATAGGTATAAAACTGCTTTATGCAAACAAATCAAAATTAGGAGGGTCACAAAAATAACCAGAG